TTTAAACTACCGTTTTTATCCACAAGACACACGCGCATTCATACACACACGAACACACACACACACATATGAACGTACGTACGTACTTACTAGCACACACGTACACACATGTACACACGCTACTTTTTTATATTTTTACTAAGATACGAACACACACATATACACACACACCACACTGCGCGTGTACGCACAGTGGCGTAATCTTATCAAATAGTCTCTTCGATTAGACGAAAGCTGTAGATTAAACGCGCTGCTAGAAGAACTACTAGTCGCACTTCCAGTCGGATTTCGTTCTTTCGTGAATTCTTCATGATATCAAAGGAAAACGGTGCATTTCGCGCTCGAATCGCTAACGCGCTTACCGCTCACGGCTGCGCGCAGACAGAATTATCAGCTGGTTAAACCACTGTCGTTCTCATTGAGAAGCTCTCGACCGTACATTACGAATAAATAATGCATCCTTTCCTTCGCCGAAACTTGGTGGAAAGCTTTGAAACGCGCGGGGAGAGCGTTCAGTTTAAGCGCGAAAATACATTTATTTGAGAGGCGCAAATGCGAAAGACCGGCGATAAATCAGAAATTGTACACGGACGCAATCCCGCGAGCGATCGGTGTGTGTGCGCGAAACACCGCAACGATTTATCGAGAAATGCACACTATGTTGGAAAAAAAAAATAAAATCTGCCTTCCACAATCAACGGCTTGATTTTTTTCGATTTTTCGCCAAGGCGAATCAAACGACGTTAAATTCGAACGGTTGGCTTGGTAAAGCGGAAAATAATCGAACAGAAACCGCTCGCGCGAACGACTCTTTCGCGAGGCTTAATATCTCCGTATTAATATTCCTCGTTATTCTCGTAGTTATAATTAATCTTGCGAGCACACACACACGCATATATATACACAGACAGACGGACACACTTACATGGATGCGGTAAGTCTTTAAGTTCCGTGTTTCATACGTTGGCTTTCGCGATTCACTTTTGTCTCCGCCGCGCGTGGTAGAATATTAACGGCTCTCGCCGTTGAGACAAAGACGCGGACGATACGACGAACTTTTCGAGCGATTAATATTCCAACTTCCGCCGAATAAGTAATGCGCTCTTCCGCACTCGTCCGCTTTTCCGCTCTCTCTTCTCGCGATTACACGCGACGCGTGCATCTGCAGATTGCATTCCGATCGGTGCGCTGAGCGAATCGGGAAGTCGCGATTTCCCTCATCCGCGAAGATGCTAACACGTTGAATGCTGCGTCGATCATGTAATTTTCCCCCCAGGGCGGAAATGTTAAAAGTGAAAAGCGAAATGTTTTTAAATTAGAAAATTTATACTTTTCACGAGTTCACAGTAAAGGAGAGCCTCTAGGGGGTTGATCATGAATCTTCTCCTCTATCGTGAACTCGTGAAAAGTGCAAACTTTCTAATTTGAAAACATTTCACTTTTCACGTTTTCGCCCTAGAGGAAAAGTTACGTGATCGATGATTACACACATCACTAGAAGTATAGTAAATAAATGTAATTCAGGGCATATCTACCTCGTTTCATTAGCTTTTTATTGGCTGTGCAGTCCATTTTTTAGATGCAATTAATTCCCGCACAAAATTTTCTGGGATCTAATTGGGGTCTATTCCAATTAACCAATTAAATAAAGCTGCGATTCTAAGCGGGAAACTCGGACTCCATTCAGCAGATTCCATTTGCTCTGTTCAACGTTTACCTAAAGTTTAAAGTTTTCTTATAATTGGGATAAGAATGGGATCCCTAATTGGTCACAATATATTATACCTATTTAGGATAAATTTAGGTAATCTGATCAGAATCCATACTTGGGAATGTTTGAGAAATTTCCATACTGATATATTTTATACCAACTAAACATGACGCGGCAATATTATATCACCGGCATTCAACGTGTTAATCGCGAAGATCGCGATTTCTTCTTCTTCTTTTTTCGCAAAGTCTTCTTCCGAGCAACGATTCCGTGGGAAATCAAATCGACGTCGTCGATTTTCGTCGCTTCGCCGCTGTTGCTCGCGGAGAATAACGTCTATCCCATTTTCGTCGATATCAGCTTTAACACCGAGCACCGTCGCCGTAAAGGCAGCAGCAGTACAGCCCACACCTTCGCGATTCGCACGCGAACGAATCTCCGTGAGATTTCCGGAACACGATTAACTTGTATTTCCGCGCACGCTACACGAATGTACGAAATTTCGCTGTTCCGTTGGCCGCTCTATCGCTCCCCCCTTTGCGAGATCGAACACATGCGACTCTTTGTAGCCGAGATGTGCGTGTGACAATTAGCCGTGACGTCCATGTTTCTTGCTCACTCGGCGCAGCTGCAGCAGATATAGTGTGTGTGTACATATATACATATATATACTAATAATATATAATAATAATAATAATAATATATATATTTTAGTGTGCGTGTGCCTACTTCGTCTTATAGTTTGATACTATTGTACATACGCGACCTGTACCTCGAGTTATACACTGTAAAACTACACTTTAACTGTCAATTATATGGAGTTTTACGATATACACAAAACTTCAGCCGGCGTAAAGGAAAAAGAATTATATATATATACATATAGTAGAGATACGTTATGTGTACGTGTGAAGCACGGAATACGCGTGATATAATCGGTAACATATAAATGTGAAATGTATGGCCTGTGCATAATTCTAAATTAGATACGTTCTCGAAGTAATCATTTGTTAGGCCTTTCATTTTTATGCATATGTAATCAGCGAGAAGGAAAGAAAACGAGAGGAAAAGAGAGAGAAAGAAATAGAGGCGTGACTCGATTCGGGGGAAGTATCGAGGGTTATTTCTAAGGTCATCGAGAGACGAGTAAAATACTATCTCGTTTCTCTGACCAACGGTAATTAAATACCTGAATTAATACGGAATTAATATTCGACGGAACGTTAAATCCTGTATCTTGGAACACACGACGACGTCTCACAGAGCCCGTTTGACATTTTGAGTCTCTCCCACCTTCGAACGTCGCGAAGGGAGTCGTTAATTGTACGATCCTTGCGTACTCGGTATTTTCGCGTTCATGGCGGCTCCGATTGCCTTCTGGAAGATTCTGATTTGCGGACCGAGCTGATTCCGCGTGTACACCGGTACACTGCAGGATTTATTACGGGAACTTGCGAAATATTTATCATTGCGCGAAGGAGGAATTTATACCTTTTTCCAATTCCCCCAAATAACCTCTTTAAAATATTCACACGACGTGCTCGCGGGTCGCTTTGAGGACTTTACTCCTGCGTTGTGAATCTCGAAATAGTATTTTACTTGTTCACGATTATGCCCAATGTAACTATTCGCGTGACTCGAATATAGGATTGAACGATATTAAACGAATTATTAAATCAAATTCGATAGTGTGTGTGTATGTGTATGTGTGTGATTTGTTATTCGGGAAATCCCTCAATCTCTCCGACCCGTCCAGCCATAACACAAGGTAAGTTTCAGGATCGACCGCATCATCCCACTGAGGATATTTCTTTTTAGTTGGAGATGTATTTATTTACATTTTACAGTACAAAACGATTATATTGAATATATAAATAACGGTAAGAACAATGAACATACATCGCGACCGTGTGCTCGTTATCTCCTAGCATAAAGAATCCCGATGCTACGGAAACGACCGCGAATTGTTGTTAGGAGCGAAATGATTTCGAGAATGACGTCGCACGCTTTGAAATAAATACGATGGCGTGTGATTCGCACAGTTACACTAACGATACCTTCCTAATTGTTAGTTGCATCCGTTGTTGTTGTTGTTACACCGTCCGCTAATATTCGCAAAATTTACTTTTGGTATCTTCTTCTGCTTCTTCTTCGGTTTCTTTCTTTTCCCTCTGGTGAGAGATTAATCTAGCGTGTAAAGGTATAAAACAGACGTTTACGACGGATATTACGAGTAGATCGGATCGTCCCCTCGTAAATATTGCACATCCTGCGATGTCCTGCCAAGTCAGTGTTGCCAAATCGAACAATTTTTAAATCCATCACATGTCTTTATAAAATAAGCCAGGAATAAGCCAAAAATAAATGTGTGTACGCCTTATGTATATATAACATTTCATAGAGAAAGAAAAGATATTTGTCGTGAATTTACACACATTTATGTATACCTACTATGAATATCACCTCTATAATGAGATCTAATTAAAATTTAATTTCAGAAAAGAAAATTCGTTTCAATTTTCGAAAAATCCAGAAAATGAGCAAAGACGAAAATCAGTTAAACCATGATTTTTGCATTCTAGTTGACATTCAAACAAGCTCTAAATGACGGGAAATAAACTAAGTTAGCGACACTGCGCCGAGTTTCTCTTTCACGAGCTCGAGGAGAAATGCGACCGCTCTCCTCCGGAGTCGCCTCGTCGGGCCGCGGTGCTCCTTCGCTCTCGACCTGACGTGTTTCCTTTTTCCGCTTTTCCTTTTCATTTTTTTGGCATAACGTCTAATAGAATCGTTTCCCCCTAAGTGTCCCTAAGTATCTCGAGTATGTCTAGGCGCGTGAGACGACGAGTCCCCCGCGTACACGTGGGAACGCGCTCGCTGCGTCCTCGATCTCGCGGACGGCGGACGTGACAGCGCGATGACAATAATTTAGAAGCGGAAGCGAGCACGCGATTCCACGGAACACGTGGTGAAACCCTGAATGAGCCGCCGCGTCTTCAACGCCGAGAGAGACCAGGCCGACGATAGCGCGCTTCGGGAAAAACGACGTGAAATTTTCCACACGCGCGCCGGAAAGACGATCCTCTGGAAATGATGGCGCGACAGATGTCGAATCTTCCCGACGTCAAGCTGTAATCGCATCACCGAGGAAGAGTCTCTCTCTCTCTCTTTCTCGGAGAAGCTCGGGATCTTTCCCGAGCATCGTGCGCCGCTCGTCGAAGCCGAGATTACGCGGCTCGCCGGTAATTAAAAGACGATCGCTCCGATCCGACCGCGTGGGCTCGTCACGTCAGTTCTTCTTCGTGAGCTCCTGGAAGAAAGCTTCGATCGGCAAGGTCGGCTCGTCCGTGGTGATCTTGAAGTGCGCGGACGGCACGACCCTGCTCTCCGGCGAGACCGCCTTGAACATGCCGGGCTTGTCGTAGAGAGCGGAAGCGGAGCTCGTCAGATCCGCCACGCTCTGCGACGCCTTGGCGAACAGCTCCTCCTCGTCGAACTTCGTCGTGCTCTCCGTTTCCGCTTCCTTTTGCGGCGCCTCTGCCTTGCTCCCGTCTTTGTCGGCAAGCGCTTCCGGTTGGCTCTCGCTCTCCCCCTGCGGATCGCCGGTCACCTCGATCGGCGACTGAACTTTCATCATCACCACCTCCTCCTCCTCCTCTTTCTTCTTCTTCTCCTCCTCCTCCTCTGGAGTGCTGCTGCTGACGACTTCGGGCTGCTGGCTTTCGTTCTTGTTCTCCTGCACGCCGAGTTTCACCGGATGGCTGTCCAACGCCGCGGCCTCCCCCTTCTCGCTGACGATCTCGTTGCCCGACGAGGCCGTGGTCGATATGGCCGAGTAGAAACTGGTTTCCTCGGCGGCCATCTCCGTAGGTTCATGCTGTCGTCGGCGCTCCGGGTGCGCGGTACCCGCTACCGCGGCTGCTACCACCTCCTTATGCGGATGCTGCGGCCGACTCTTGGCGGCCGGTCGCCTCCGTATCGACGACGAGTACACGTTCTCGGGCCGCACCGAGCTCTGTCGCGCGCTGACCTCGCCGCTCACCTGAGTCCGCGTGGGGCTGCTCGTGGTGGAGGCGATCCTGCTACGGTACACGTTGCCGCTGATCGGCCGCCTCTTCGGCACGAACCTACTTTTTTCCGTCGTCGAAGAGCCGCTCTCTTCGGAGAGTCGCTCCCTCACGCTGGCCGTCGGCGTGGCGGACGTGCTGGTTCGGTAATTCATCCTGGAAACGTACTTATATCTGCCGGTGGTCTCCTTCACGGGCTCGGCGACGGATTGCTGGACCTGCTGAGTCCTCGCGCTCGACGTCCTCTGTTTGGTGTAGGGGGCTCGGGTGGACACTTCCGCGGCGGGAGTCGGCGCGAGCTCCGTCGTCGAGCTCTGCAGTTGCAGCCTGGTCTTGTAGTCCAACCGACTCTTGTAGTCCTTGATGCTGAAACGCGGTCTGGTGGCGTTGCCGTAGCGCAACGGCCGGATCTTGTGGGACCTCAGCGTGGAGGAGACCACCTGTGCGCTCGGTGTCGTCGGTTGCGGGGCGCTGGTAGTCGTGGTGGTGGTGGTGGTGGTGGTGGTCGTCGCCGTGGTCGTGGTCGTCGGCGCGACTGTGGTCGCTCGGTCGTAGTAATTGCCGTCGTCGGTTCTCACGTAGAGCTCCTCCAGCGGTATGCTGGTGACGATGTTCGGCTTCGGCTGCCGTGTGTCCACGTTGTAGTCCTCGACCTTGTGGCGACTGCGCTCCGTCCCGTAGTACTCCACCGGGATGGACGTGGTGGTGGTCTCTTCGCGGTATCCTCCGCTCAGCTGCGACGTGTAGTCGTAGTACTGATTCACCGGCTGATTCGTGATATATTGTTCCTCTCTTTGACTTACTCCGTAAGAGGAGACGCTCGGTTGGTTGGTCGCGAACTGGTTGTTCTCGTTGTTGTTGTCCGCTACGGACTCCACTGTGGCGTGTCCGTAGGTCAGCGAGGAACGCGAGTCCTCGGTGACGACCTCCGAGTCGTACGACTCGGTCAGTTGGTTCACCCTGGTGCGATGGCTCGGTCGTTTCCTGGAACTGGGTCTCTTCTCCGCGACGACCTCGTCGCCGGTGTAAGTCGCCTGGGTGGGCTTGATGCGTCTTCTTCGGGGCGAGTCGTAGTGATTCGCCTGCGTGTCTTCGCTACCTCGGTTGTACTTGAGGAAGTCCTCCTCTTGACGCGACACGGTGACGGGTGGTTCCTGCGTGGTCGTCGACGGCTTCCTTCGCCGATGCCCCGACAAGCCAGGCCGGCGAGTTCTGGCTTTTTGCGTTGTCACCGTCGGTAGGGTTTGCAATTCCGGCGCCACGGTTGTTTGAACGGGTACTTCTTCCGCGTGCAGAGTCAAGGGTATGGAAGTGTCTGGAGCTTGGCTCGGCAGCTCCGTCGCTAAATCGTACGCGACGGTCGTCGGCTTTTTGCGGCGGTGCGGGTCGCGAGATGGTTTCTGCGGACGGTATGGTCGGGTCTCGGCCTGCGGATCGCGATAGTCGACCTGTTGCTCGGGGTACTCGTTCTTGAAATGCTGCTGGTACTGATAATTCACTTGGTTCTCCGGGATCTGCGGCAGACGGGTTGGAATCTTTTTTTACATCTCGTAGGAATCTCGCCGATACATACGCACCGAGAACAATCGCGAACCAACCGGACAAAAAATATAACGTCAAATTAACGCATTCACCTTGTCGACATATGTTAATTTAACATTGCACTTGTATACTTTTTGACGCAAAATTGTTTACACAAAATTACTTACTGTATATGAAAACTTATCTAAGAAAAGATAAGCGCTATTTTCATCTAAGGGAAGAGATATAAGTATAGCAAACTCTTAGATCCGAAAAAATGTATATGAGAAAACTTATTTCAATCAAGAGACGACGAGTACTAAATCGAGAGATTTCGCCAACTTATTTCATAATTTTAAAATCTAATCTTCTAAATTAAAATTCAACGTGACGGGCAAGACTTTTAAATTGGTCTGAAGAAGAATAGAAAGATTTCTCTCTTGTAGTTTCAGTAATCTCGTTACTACCGCGGTCCGGCAAGTGGACCGAAACGTCTAACATACATCCGCGAGTACTGCAATTTCGAATTCGAAATTGGCATTTATAATTACCCGCACCAAGTGGCATCTTTCGCGCTTGATCGATATCGGCTCATCCGCCAGAGACCTTCGCAAACGATCGACCCACTATTCGAGTCGTGGGAAAAGGCGGAAAATGGCAGGTAACAGAGCGTATAATTCGCAGTTTCCTTTCTCGCAAAGCAAGAGACAGTTACCTGGGGCTGATAGATGCCGGGCTGCGAGGACACCAGGATGCCGGGACTCGTGGTGACCTGCGGCTCAAACTGCGCCAGTTGAATCGTGTACGGCATATCGCCGGAGATCTTGACGAGATCCTGCGACTGATTCTTCGCCGACTCGACTGCCAATCTGGCCGCCTCCTCCTCCTCTTTCTCCCGCTGGAGGAGCTGATTCAGCTCTTCCTGCCGTTTCTTCAGCTCCTCCTGCTGCTGCCTCTCGATCTCCAGCTTCTGCCGGCGTTCTTGCTCCGCCAGCTGCTCCCGGTCGCGCTGCAGCAACTGTTGCTGCAGCAGGAATTGTTGCTCGTTGAAGTGCTTCAGCGAGATGCTCTCCGGCGTCTCGTATTCCACCGTCGTCGGCGGGTAAACCTCGACGGGCTCGTAGGGATTGTGCGGTCTGCGGTAAGCTACCTGATTCTGGTTATCGACCTCTTGGTTGAACTTGCCCGGCGGATTCTCGCGCGGCAGCACCTCGTTGATGTCGGACGTGTACTTGTTCTTCGGCCACGTGGACGGCGGCGTGAGCTCCTGGTGCTCCGACACGTAGTACGTGCTCGTGGTCCTCGGCAGCTCGCCAGTGTGGCCGCCCTTGTCCTGCTTCTTCCTCGTGCCCTGATCCGTGCGTTTGAAATCGTGCTCCGCCGGGTCATTCACCTGTTGGCTGTACTTGCCGGGGGGGTTCCTCGTGACCGCGGTAGTGGACGGCGGCGACGTCGACGAGGAAGACGAGTAGACCGCGGGCGGCAGCAGGGTCTCGTACGGCAAGGACGGTCTGAAGTTGTACGCGTTGTACGCGTCGGACGGCGTGACGTAGCTCACCTCGTGGCTCTCGTGCACCAGGAAAGCGGGGTCGCGCTCGTAGGTGGCCTTGAAGTGGCTGGGCGGGTGGTTCACCTGGCTGTAGAAGTTGCCGCTGCTGGCCGAGCCGAGGATCTGCGGCGCCACCTGGTACCGGCTGTCGTAGGGGTCGTTGCTGATCTTCTGCTTGTTGCCGAAGTCGCCGGGCACGTCCGCCACCGGCGGCTGGAAGTAGGGTTTCGCGTTGCCGCTCACCTTCAGCGACTCGAACGGCTTCGACTGGTGATGGTGCGGCGGCTGGAGCGCCTGCGGCATCGCGAACGGCGGCACGTACGGCCGGTTGCTCGGGTAGCCCTTGATGAAGTAGGTCCCGGCGCGCACCTGGTCCGGCAGTTGCTGCGCTTGCTGCTGGTGGACGCTCGTGGCTGACTGCGGCGTGTTGTACGGCTGGCGCAGGTAGTTGGAGTTGTCGCGCAGAATCGGCTTGCGGTGTTGGTTCATCTCAAAGCGGTAGGCGTCCTTGGGCGGCGGGATCAGGAAGGTGTACTCCCGCGTCTCCGAGGCGACGTGCTTGCTCGGCGGCGCCTTGCTCTCGCCGCGTGCCTTCGTCGCCGCGTGACCGAACACGCTGAAGCTGCCGAGGATGCTCGGCGGACTGTACTCGTGCACCGGCGGCTTGCCCTTCGGCTTCAGCTTCTCCGACGTCGCCATGTGCTCCTGGAACTTGCTCAGCACCGGGTGCACCTGCACGTTCTTCTCCAGGTGGCTCGACGGCGACACATTCGTGCCGATCGTCTCCTCGTACGAGTTGGTCAGCGGTCGCCATCCGTTCGCGATCATCGACGATCGCGTGGGCGCCTGCGAAAAGTGCGGGTTAACCTTCGAGGAAAAATAACTTCCCATTTGTAGCATCGGAAGAGCGTAACAGAAAACGAATTGAATCGGACTTAAAGTAGAGCTAAAATTTCGACTCGGGATCAAAGTAGCTCTATTAGTGCTCTTTTGGTGCTACAGATGGGAAGTTACCTCCACTCGAGCAGACGTTCCTTCGCATCGCCGAAGGTCCCCTCCCCTTCGTATTTTTATTTATTCCACCAATTCCACTTTGACAGGGCAAGTTGCGCCAAATCGGAATAATTCATCGCGGCCGAGGAGGAACTCGCGATGGAGTTCCCACGTACGCTCTCCGTATATACGGGTAGCATCAAACGCAACTTTCGTTCGCGCCGCAAAGCGACGACGACTACGGTAATGCGATACTCGAACTTCCGGAAGAGCTTAATGGAATGGTTCCACCGCGACGGTCCGAGAAAATCGTAAGTGAGGCCATTACCACTCGCCTTGGGACGTAGAACGGCGAGGAGGACTCGGTGTAATCGGAAAATAAGCGCGAGAAGGAAACATGCTGTTTCCAAATAACTTTCTCGGCCCGTTTATTCCGAGCCGATAAATCCATCGTTCCGCTCGCTCGCTTGTAATGGCGGTGAGAAATCAAAATCTAAAGTTTCGAAACGGTCTGCTTCGGACGGACCGACGCGCATTGTCGTGCTCGTAAAGTGAACGTTATAGGCCTCGGTATACACAGCAAACTGTATATCTTCTAGAAACTTCCTAAGTTATTCCATTCCCGAGACCAGTAAATCGGAATCCTCGAACGTTTCCGGCTATCGAATCGCGTAAAACGCCGACCGGGTCGAAACGGGAGGGAGAGAGAGAAGGAGAAAAGGTGAGCCCAGGCTCATCCATGCGAACGTTCACGCAACAATAAAATTGAAGCGGGAGAAATGAAATGTGAAATAAAACATGAAAGGCGCGCAAGAAATACGATTGGGACCGCCGATCGAAATTTTACCGAAGTCTGCACGGAATTTACAGGCGGATTTGCGACAGGAGAGGGATGTCCCGGAAGTTTGTGTTCAATATTAAATATGTCGGTGATTAAACAGACCTCATTTTTCAATTCCACCTTCTCCGAAGGGTCCACTGCGTGAAAACTTTTTCAATCATTTTTAACGTCCTCGAAGAGACTATTGTACTTCGATGTTCCACTTTAGGAGAGACATTACCTCCGAAGAATCGGGGGATATACTTCGGCAGTGACTTGTACTTACGGCTTTAATATCAGCGCGATCTATCGATACGGTGATGGCGTCTCCTATGGTGACGAACAGCCACGTCGTCAGGACACCTGTGCGAATAATACAAATTTTTACTAGGCGTCTTACCGGAAGAGAGCTGCAAATGTTACTCGCGCACTCTCGCGCCCGACTCGCTTGTACTTACATTTCAATAACAGTGCAGACGACATCGTGGCAGACCATGAGGTCATTCACGCGCGGATTCTGTAACGAGAAACCAGTCGCTCGTGAAAAACCCGACGTCTCGCTGAAAATTTCGGTAGCGAATCGCGGCTCGTAAAATATGAAAAATCAGATGTAACATTCGCAGAGTTTCATATTAAAATTACGTGCATCGGGAACGAAGGTCGCGAGAGAGCTCGGAATAAAAATTTCTCCGACGGAATTTTCAATAATAATAATAACGATAATAAAATTCAATTTCTACCACGCAACATCGGATGCGCCGATAGCGCGGAATGCGAAATCGCGTTCGCAACAAGAATGGCGCTTGTCGATACGCGAGACGTATAAGTGGGACACACGCGTCTCTCGCACCTCATCCAGCGCGCATCAAGGTGTATTGACCATTAAAACATGAGCACGAGAAAAGTGTAACGTATCGCGCGCACAGAGAAAGGAAGGATAGAAAGCGTCGTGCATCTATCATAATCTCCCCGGATCGTTTCCGTGCCGTTTTCTCATTTTTAAATCGCGATATTAGCGAAATCCACGGAGGGGAGAGAGTCGGCTGGCGAGAGGAGCAGGGGCAGAATTTCTCTTTTTACGAGCAATCGCCGTAATATGCGGACATCTTTTGTGCGCGATGCGCACTTTCGTGTAAACTACTTGTAATGCGCAGGCCGATACACGACAAGTGGGCGCCCTCGCAATTTCGCGCTGCCAAGCTAGCGAGCGTAAACTCGCCCGTCTCGTCGGGGAAATTCGTCGTGGCGACGATCTCTAAGTTATCATGACCGCGAGAGAGAGAGAGAGAGAGAGAGATATGCGATAAATCTTCGTCCACCCACCAGCGCGTATCAGGATATTACGAAGTCGCGCTCGTGAACTTTAATATTCATGAGCACTAAATTTTTAACTGCCTCCTTCCCTCATTATTACTACAAACGCTCGGCGTAATGGCCGGAATCAGGCGGATTACGAAATTTCGCGAATTACAGAATTCGAACACGACCGTGATATTGTTTATTACTGATGCCGTTATATCACCTCCGGTATCTTCTCCTCCCTCGTTCCGCCCCATAACGACGGTGAGTGTACGCACCGCGCGTGAATAAGTAAAACGAATAATAGAAAATACATTACGCTCGGCGCAACATCGTCGGTGTTTTTTGCGCAAATTTGCAACAAAACACAGTGACATTACGCCCTCCCTCCGCCGCGATCACGATCCATTTCGTGAAAATGAGAAAAAAAAACGACGGAAAAACAATCGTGTTATGTAAAGTAGTAAAAGCTAGAAATTTGTGATGCAAAGACGCCACTTTCTCTTCATTCATTAAACATCGGGGGTGTGCAAATTGTCGACTTTGCATAGATATTTTTTTTTTTTTTCGTTTTTCTCCCTTTTCCTCCCTCCCGCTCTCTCCTATCTTTCTTTCTACAGTGCGACGCCACACGGAGGAAAGTCTTCCGATGCGCGAGCAAACAAGTAAAAGCTGCGCGCCGATATTTAGCGACGCGCACTTGGCAAACGAATGCGCCGCGCCTCAACTCGAAGTGCTGCGATCGAAATTTCGTTTTAATAGCCGACAGCCGCTTTAATGAAGAGGCCGTGGAAATTAGCGCGCATCGCCGAGTCAATTCAATTGGCTGGCGTGTGAAGCCATCGTCGCTCATCGATTCCGATGCAATTATAAGCTCCCGTTTAAGCGACGCGATCCGTCGCAGCCGCCAGCTGCGACGAAAAGCACGAAAATCTGCGTTTCCTCGCTCATTTTCGATCTTGGCGTAAACAGAGCGAGACAATTATGCGCCACTATATTTCGCTCGCGTGTGCAATCGCGATTTTCTTCCCGCCAAACGTTCGTATACATTTTATATAGCCATCCATCGAATATGAGCTTTGTCGCCACCATCGGCCGACGATCGTCTCGCACACCTACAATTATCTTTCGTGACGATGAATCATTCGGTGAAGTTGAATACATGTAATTTGCCTGTAATTTTCTTAACCCGTTAAAGGCCACAATTACCTCACAAACGTTTCCAATTAAAGGATCGGTCTGTTTGCTGAAAAAGATAGAGAAAGAGAATTCCGGTACCACACGGGAAAAGAATGGCTGTTGAATCAATAAAATTTCCGACAGTAGCGTAATTGGAGTGAATCTTTTCGATTTTCAATGGCAAATATCATCTAAACTGCCATGTTATGTATCGTTTCAATAACTAAAATAAATAAATTATTAGTTTCAACGATATTGTAATTGAATTAACATTTACTCCAATTACGCATGCTGTTGGAAATTCTATTGATTCAACAGCATTTTTCTTCACTTAGAGATTCCGAATTAGTATCAAAACTGTATTTATATAAAAATAGATATTTGTATTAATCGATTGATTTAACACTGGATGAAGGGAAAAACGCTAGGACACCGACTGTCAATGGGGTCAAGAAACTAAAATGTTTTCCTTTATGAGGAGAAATTGCATTTCGCTTTGGAGAAATGACTTGTTTGAATCTATCCGCAGTATAGTCGGTGACCGTTTAGTCGCACGAAAAATCCGCAGTTCTCCTTCGCGTGCTCGAAATTGGCCGGGGTTGATTTTCTCGCTCCGTTCGTCAAGGCGGGAATATTTCCCCGGCCGAAAACAATTCAGCGATGTTTGCCTTCGCCCGCTGTCGTCCGGTGCTGCCATCGCGGCAAGCACCCCGTGGCACGGAAAATCGATAGAGCACCGGTTACATTTAAATTTCAAGCTCGCGCTTCCGGATGAATTAATTATAAATGTCGCTGGCCAAGCCTCCCGAAGGACTTGATGCATTTCGCGGCCGGCTTGATGAATAGAGCCGGGGTGCTGCAACTTTCCGCGTGCGGGATTGAATGGATTCCCCCCACGTTTTTCGTTATCAATCATTTCTTTAATTCGACGTGGAGTAAACGAGTTTATACACGAAGAGCGAAGGAAATACTCTACGTCACGTCGTCCAATGAATGACGATCGCGTGCTGAGGACATCTCGAGCGATCGAGCGATTTTCAAGAGAATGAGAGAGGGAGACCGAGATAGATAGAGAAATGGAGGGATTAAGGAGAGAGAGAAAGAAAGGGAGGGGAAATATCGGCTCGTATTCTTCCCGTCTTCTGAAAAAGCACGACGACGAGCGGTGCACGCTAAGCGACAGTAATGCCGTTATTACGGCTTGGCAAACTGTGCGAAATAGCACGTGTAATAATGTAAAATGCAATCGAAGTTGCGCAGCGATATCCGTTTTGCCTCGTTAAACGTAATTTATACGGGACGGGGATTGTTCAAGAATTTTCTTCCGCACAGTTCTGCATAATCCGATTAAGAGTTGAATGAAATATGAGATAACTCGCAGTCGCCCGGCCGACGTTGCTTCTGATTTTTACGATCGTCAACCTTCCGCCGATCCGGATCGGCGCACCCCGAAAACCATCGCTTGTCATTTTCGCGGAATTAGCGAAAAATCGAAAAGAACGTTATTTTGCAATTTGACACCTTCAATGAGAGCGAGCCGGGAACTTCTTCTCACGGTGCGCGGCGCCTCTGTCTCGCAGTCGCATTTAATAAGCGCCTCCGCTCTACGTGCGCGCTACCGCCCGTCGGATGGACGCTCTCCATGAAACACATATATAAAGGCCACGGCTGAAACGATGCAAATGCATTATGTCGACAAAAAGCCGGACACTCGAAAGCAACCTTTTAGCATTAATGGATTGAAATTAGCTTTACGCGCGCGTGCGACATTCGTACGCGGATAGGCCGCTCCGACGTCATTTTCATTTCCACGTAGCGAAGCCAAATCGCTTTAATATCGTCATACGGAAGGACGGATATCGTAAAGGGCGAGTTAACTTGGAATGTACACACACACCTATACGTACCACGCGCTCGGCGAATGGTTGAGTTAAAACCGAGCTTTCCGTCCCTCGAGTTTTTCGTTTTTTCCTCGAGTTTACCGAGAGAGAAACGGAGAAAAATAATCAAAGGAAAGAGTATAATTTCCGAAGAAACTTGATCTTCATTCTAATTCAAGTTTCCCCGCCGTGTTAGTAATAATGAATAAGTTACATCTCTCTTCATCGACTTGTTTGCCAAGTTATCAAACACAAACATATACCTCGCAGAGAGAATGAGAGAGGATGAATACTTAAAGCTTCATACGATTCTGATAAAAAATTCCACGGAACCGCGAATGTTCCTCTAACACGATTTCATTTCCCCGACACGCTTAAAACGTGTTCAATCGCGAGATCTTTCGCGCTGATATCTCGTTCGATCGTTCCCTCGGAATATCCGCATTACGCGATCACGTGCACCGAAATCGCTCGCATTCGACGTGAACGCGAATCGAATGGCGAGCTACAAGTTTCGCGATTTCGAGGCGCGACTAAAGACCCGCTCGATTCGATATCCCGCTCGTAAAGATAACGACGACGAACGTCGGAATTCCGCGGGTTAGAGAGGCGGATAAACCAGCCGGCCGGCTTGCCGGTCACTCTCGGAAAAGGTAAGCGGCCACGATGCATATAGCATTTCAGAGAGCTGTTTTTTCTCCGCGAATAACGCGCCCGATCCCTCACGATCGGGGTTACGCTCTGGTTCGCCCGGCCTTTCGCTTTCCGCTTGGCTCACGCGCGCCAGCGGTGCCCACGCATTAATTGTCAATTACTTTACCGTAAAATCGCTGGGCTCGCGTTGCCATCTCGCGCGCTAAACGCCACCAACCACAGGGATGTTGTTATATTATTGATATAACTATACCGGTATCGATATTTTTCTTTCAATACCTTATCTTTTTTTGTATCGTTATTTCCCCTCGGTATTTTTATATCGTTATTTTCCTTCGATATTCGTGCCCATATCAGTGTTACTTTGTTTCGATATATTTTCGATATTTTTTCCTTTAATTTTTTCCCCAGTCGATCTTCATATATTTTCATATATTTTTGCTTCATGAAAATTAGTGTAACATGCAACTTACATTTTACATCAACCGTAGA